AGAAAAGAGGATGGACAAAAAAGTCCTTCAGAGGAATATCAATAAATACATACAGGATCTCAGAAAGTAGAAACGGTAAACACTCGAATATAAGAAAACAGGCCTATAAGAGTATGCGCCACCAAAAAGGGCAAAACAAATAATTGATAAATAAAAATAAAAAGTTGTAACAACCCTTATCCACCTGCCACCCTTATCGCCGTTATAACAATCCTAATCAGACCTAATCAACGCTCGCTTTTTTCCTGGTATTACGCGGCGGGCTTATCAGCGCCGCCTGACCAAACCCAGGCTGATAAGGATAATAATGCAATTCCCGCTACGACTCGACGCCGCCACCATCCGGCGAACCGAAAGGCCATCCCGCAAGCAGTCCTAATCTGCAAGGGCTAATCTCGGTCGTCGTTATCGCCGCAGTCGGTCTTCGCATGACGCGCGGCGGGAGGGAGACTCGAGGGGGAATCCGGTGAACTGAACCGTTTCTGATTGTCACGAGAGGTCTGTCACACCTGCGACTGACTATATATTCCCTCCTCCTCCTCCTCCTCCTCCCCATGCCTCTGATCTCGCCTCTCCCACCTCTTTCATTCCCTCTACGCCACCCTCCTTCCTATTCCCTTTCATTTTTACTCTTCTCTCTCCCCCTCTTCCCCTTAAAAGACAATGAAGGACCGCATAAGGCATAATCCTTTATATCCACAAATTAACAAATAAACATAACTCTGCTATATAATTGTTACGCAACTACGGCGGTGACTCAACAGCCACCGACGACAAAGTCCGAGTGAGATCTCAATCGGCACGTCCATGCATGTGACCTGCGTGGGTGCGTGCCCTGTCACTCGCTCTCCCTCACTCACTCGTCCTGATTCTCCGACCCCGACTGAAAAAGGAGAGTTGGACGAAGAACACTAAACCTGAGCGGGTGAGCAAGTGCCTCATCCTTATTCACTCGCTCGCCCTCGCTCTCTGACCCCTGCCTCCGGTTACCAGCGGGAATAGAATGCAGAGCGCTAAACGTGAGCGAGCGAGTAAACAAGTAAGTAGAGTGGGAACGGGCGCCGGGCGTTCACACCTGGCGACAGCACGGTTAATGCGCCCCGGGTGGACTTCCTGTCCCGAGGAGCACTTGCAGCTCTGCACCTGCCTTGACCATCGTGCCCTGCGGGGTTGGGGCAGAGGGGACGCCGCCTCCTGCCCGCTCGCCTTCCTGCCCCTCCCGCCCGCACCCTTCCCACTCAGCCTCCCTTTGGCGACGAAGGCGTAAATTGTAAATCTAGGAATGGCGGGTTGGAGGTAAGAGGGAGGAAAGGAGAAAGAGCGAGAGACAGTGAGAACGATGAGACAGAGTAGAGGAAGGAGGATAGGAAAGGGGCGAGGAGGGTGCCTCTACTTGCATTCTACTTACTACATTCTACATGCTAGTGAAAAAAAAAGAAATGTGCAAGGATGACTGACGTGTGCTCCTCTCTTGAGGCCCGGGAGTTAAAAGGTCGAGCCATGAAGATTTCGAGATATCAAAAGTCAGAATAAAACACCCAAGTGATAACGTACGATTAAAGTCCTCTTTTCTGGCCCTTATAATTTCCAAGAGGAGAGACCTCAACCCATATATAAAAGAGGCCGTAGGGCCCTTTACAATATTTTAGATTGCCTTAAGTAGTAAAGGAAAAAGAATTGTGAGTAAAAGTAAGAGTAAATTTTTTTTTTTTTAATCCAATAAACAAATAATAGAAAATGAATGAATACATAAATTCTGTACGTATACACACACATATACATATATATACATACCTTTACATTCACATCTTAACTTACCTAAGTTATTACTGAAGGAGGAGTCGAGAGAGGCCCCGCCCTGGCCCTGCGTCAGAAGGATCTGGGAGTCGAGCTCCTGGAGCTCCTGCTGCAGGGCCGAGAGTTTGGAGTTGGCCTCCTTCACCATGTGGCTCACGTCCTGAAACGCTCGCCGGTCTGCGGGAGGAGAGAACGGTACGCGTTAGAAACAATCTCCGGCCAAGGGCGTGCAGAAAGAGAGTAAAAAGAAAATACTACGCGGGCAATATAAGCTAAAATCCCCAGCACCACGTCTTGCTTCATCACCCTGTCGGGGTCGCGGCGTGACCGACAACTCCAGGCGTCGGGTGACTAGGCGGAAGCAACGGGGCGCAAGAGAGGCCTAGGCGACGCTCTCGCTGATGTTTTGATCGTCATCAGTCTCTGATGACACGGATCTAACCTCTTCCTCTCTATAAACGGCACATCCATGTAAAGAAATCACATAAGGATATCCACCAATCTCTCCAAGCAACTAATATATTTCCTTTGGTAAATAGTGTATCACAAACCATGGAATTTGATTTGGTCAATTTTATTAGGTTTAAGCATTGGCATTTCAAGGTGCGAACCCGTTTGAAGATGGGCATACTCGCAATGTGCTACTCGACAATGTGGGAACTCGACATTCTGTCCCCCTCACTACCAACGTAAACTTTCAACTCATTATTTGCATTATACTGGGCAGCATGAGGTCATCGCCTCATCACCGACGCCTACGAGCACCCATTTCCATGAAACTCGTCGTCCAAGACGACCTAATTCATTCATTAATTCGCCATCCGTGAACGCTGGCAGTTTCCACTTTCGACTCGCCCATTCATTAATAAGCTTCCTCGTCATACATTCCGCTTCATTCACTCTCATTCACTCTCATTCACTACCCAATTCACCCCCCGCGGTTCATTCACTCGGGTTAATGATCACAGCCGCAGCATCTCATGAATTAACAGGCGCTGCAACACGCCCAGTAACGAGATCAAGTGAACAGAAGAGTATATCCTTCTCCGCACATCGTGCAACCCTAAAAAACACTCATATTATGTAACGCTTGTGAGTCACTTCATTAGTATAACCATAATCACTAGTATAACTAGTAAAATAAAATTAACATATGATTAAATAAAGCACATCCCGGAATTCTAATGATAATCATGCCAACAATAGTTACTGGCATAATTGATAACAATAACAATGACTACTTGAACACGAAATTAACAAGCAATCCATAAAAAAAATAAGCCCCTCACGTGAAAGCAAGGTTAATACACGTCCATGTACGAGCTGCCCACGTCGCTTAACACATAATAACCACTAATGAACACCAACGGTGCCTTGGAGAGCATCATCCCACACGCACGGCGAATGTCAACACACTTACGTAAGGGGGAAAAATAAGGACAAACACATACGACGAAGGCCGACCACCTATGTCTCCCCCTACAGCGAGCAACCGAAAGGACAAATACACTTTTAAGAACTAGAGTACGCAATATACAGCAAGGCCCGGGTATATAGCCATTAGCCTGACAAACAAACTAAGCGAGCCCTCCGCATGAGGAAGCGCCCTCCTCCCCTACCCCACCACGCCCCCACCCACCCTACCTACTACGGGATGCCCGTGACACCCTGTTACACCCCACACATTATGAGCACTAACAAGGAGATCGGGCTGAGAGAGGGAGGGAAGGGAGGGAAATGAGGGACATGGGAGGGAAGGGAGCGAAACGAGGGACGAGGGAGGGAAGGGAGGGAAATGAGGGGCGAGGGAGGGACGGGAGAGACGAGGGAGGAGAGGGAGGGAAGGGAGGGACGTGGAAGGGGTGAGCGAGGGAATGGAGGGATGGAGCAGGAAGGGAATGGAATGAAAGTAATGGGACAGAGAGAGGTAGGGAGGGATGGGGAGGGGAGGATGAGGGGAGGGATGGGGAGGGAGGATGAGGGAGGGATGGGGAGGGGAGGATGAGGGAGGGATGGGAGGGGAGGATGAGGGAGGGATGGGGAGGGGAGGATGAGGGAGGGAGGGAAGGGAGAAGAGGATGAGGAGGGGTGTGAAGGTGGGCAGATGGATAGAGGGAAGAAGGAAGGGAAGGATTAGGAAGGGTGTGAGGGTAGACAGAGGTAGGGAGGGAGGGACAGAAAGGAAGGGAAGGGAGGGGACTTGCAAGGATGCTACGCCACCCAAGCCCCGCCAGCGAGGCCACGTTGGTCGCTCGCAGCCACACCAGGACTTACATGGTCACGGAATGGCCTAGAGAATGACTGAGTCTGCCTGGTTACCTTTAAACATTTTTTTCTGTTTTACTGTAAGAAGTGATCTACGAACCTTTAAGAAAATTAAAACGTGTTCACGATTAATGATAAAGCAAACTTGTGAGGGAAAGGCCCCGCCCACGCGCGCGCCGAACCTGCCTTGACCGAGAAACAAGCAAACGTGGCGGGCGTGCGCAAAAAAGCCTGAAGTTTATATATGCACTCTTCAACGCCGTCTTGCTTTCAGCGACCGCACGCCTACGTCCTAAATCATGACGAAGCCAAAGGCGACAGCGGAACGTCAACACGACAACAATGAGGACGAGGGCGACCACAGCAGAACTATGGAGAACGAGGACGGCGTGCGAGGACGACGTCGATGACAACAGCGGCATGACAGCGATGACACGACGAGGGCGATAGCAGCGACGACGCCCACCATCAGCACGACGCCCCCGAGCCTCCGCCAGCCCCGTCCCGCCCGGACCTGTTTGCGCGGAAACTCCTGCCCAAGACCTTGCTCCTGCCAAGAGAACGCCGTCCGGGTGAGCATTCCCCCCGCCCCACGTGGGAACGATGACACGGACGCGCACTTTTCCGCGATAGACATCGACGTCCAGCCGCGCGTCATTACGTCATCCGCAGCAAATACGCTAAAAGTCACCCGCTATATTTTAGTTTATTAAATAATGACCGCGGGGGCACGGAGCATGATAATGACACGGTGTAAAGTTCGTCTTCGCGTTGGCCCTCTAAAACATCTTTCGTCGCCGACTCACTCATGCCTTTGTCGCATGTTCTCCCTCCCCGCCACCCCCCTTGCACCGTCTATCCACCATCTCATCTACCCCTTCCATCCCTCCTATCCGCCACCTCTCTTACCCCTCCTACCCGCCACCTACGAGCGGTAG